TTATGAGACTTTTGTCAGCAAAAGTAGATTCGGGGTCTGTAGCCATTTCCATGCCCACGATTTCCACAGCTTGTGATTCTAAGCCATGGCGGCGTACGAATTGTTCAGACGCTAAAATTGCAGCGCCTGAACCGTCTGATGTGGGACAACATTGAAGTTTTGTAAGCACTCCTTCTACCACCTCCGGGGAGCGCATAATCTGCTCCAGCGTGTATTCATCTCGGAATTGAGAATAACTGCATACGGAAATAAGTTAATGGGGGTTAAATGAAAAAAATATTAAAGTACAAACTATATACATATAATATCATCGGTAAGATAGATAGAGTAATCAATAGAGTACACCGAAGTTACAATTGACTTTTGTGCTTTGATTTTAAGTGCTTAACAATAACTAATGAAAACTTACGGGTTATTCACCGAATGCTTGTGATTCTTCCAAGCGATTTTACCGAAGTGCTCCGGTTTTGTGCCATACTTGCGCATATGCTCTTTTCCAGCATTAGCAAAAATTTGGGCTGCCATTGGGCCACTGCCAATTTCGGTAAGTTCTGACATTTCAGTAATGTGTCGGTCCATGGGGTTGACGCGATCAAAGTACTGTTCAAAGACATATCAAGTTGTGTGGTTATGATTGGCATGTATAGTACAATCATATACAGGGTTAATTGTTTTTTAAATTTAACTTACTTTAGCGGAAAGTGACCCACGCTCCATCTTTTCGAAACCCACAGCCAGTACACAATCCGCGTTACCCGACTCAATAATTTGCTTAGCCAAATAAAGTGCACTGGAGCCAGTGGAACAGTTATTGTTGACATTATAGATTGGAATGCCCGTCATACCGACACCATATATTGCACGTTGACCACAGGTCGAATCTCCATAGACATAGCCGGCGACCGCTTGCTGTATCTCTGGATAGCTAAGCTTTGCATCCTGTAAAGCTTTAGTAATTGCTTCTTTTGCCATATCTGGGTAACAGACATCCGCACGCCGACCCGGTTTTTCAAACTGGAAATATAACAAATGTTAGCTCGGCTATAATCGCGTATGCGGTATCTACACCAGTAAGGAATAATAAATACTACAAATTCATAGAATTTTGTAAACAAACAATTTTAATGTGATATTTTTTGTTTATTAAAAATAAATAAATACTGCTGGCCATGCAGATAATCACAAATCCCTTTTGTTGTTGTGGAAAATGCCATGTTCATTATGCGGCTTGTTGTTGGTAGTAATTGCACAAGTACTTGTTTCATTATTTACGTAGTTTATCGCTATCTCGTACAAAGTTCATCGTCGCAAAAAATTATAAGTGCATTAACTATAATTTAAAACTTACTTACCTTCGTCATACCAACACCAACAACATATACTCTAGTTTTCGCCATTTCTAACTCTATTTTTTCTAATTTTTATTGAAAATAATTTATTTATGTTGCAAAACCACTATTTTAGGTAAAAAATAATATATAGCATATGATCCTTTGTTAACAAACTGTTCCGTAATTTGCAATAGAATAAATTTGAGTGAACTCTGATCGGAATCTAGTCAAATACTGATAAACGAGTCCAATTGGAAAACATTTAACTAACAAGTGTTAGCGAAGTTTTCGATACCGTTGTAAATTCTTATATCGATAAATTTATCAAAAACTCGTTAGCTTGTGGTCCGAGTGTCTGAACTTAACAATTTTTAGAAGTTATAGTAGGAGGATTCTCTTGGTCTTGCAAGATAGCAGATTGCAAAAATCACATACTTATACTAGTGATATATGAACGGCTGATTCGGGCAATTTATTGTAAATGACTATTGGCACACCTTCTGCATTCATCCTTAACAAAAAAAAAAAAAAAAAAAACTGTAACAAATCTTTATATTTGAATATAAATTATAAAATCTATTTAAAATTTACCTTCCTCAACAATTTAACGTCAAAATATGATCAAGTAAAATTACAGCTAATGCAGGGTTGCAATTATATTTTTGCGTGACATTGCAAATAAACATATGTTTCGGTCTGACATATTTTACAGCCATTGCAAATATTTTTCTGCATGTGTTTGTTGTTGTGCCGTTGTATTAGGTGGAAAAATCTTCAATGCTTGCACCGTGCAAGGGTTTTGCTAGTAAATAGTAAAATTTATAACAATTGACATCCTATCGTTGCCTGTCCGTCAGTCTTTCCATGCAACGATAACTTGAGTCAAATTTAAGAAATTTTCATGAAATGTAATGAAATTAAATTAAATGTTCTTTGACACCCAAGGGAGGTTGGCAGAGAACCTACATTTATAGAGAAGGTTCATAGTGTGCCGATTGTCGAAATGACCCTAATTTTGGAGGGGTTGAGTTTTCTATTAGTGGATTTCACAACAAAAATATTATTAGCGGATTTCCCCAATATGTAATATAGGGAGGTCGAAAATAGCAGAATTGAGAATTTTCATTGTTAAATGACAAAAGTGATGCTAAGTTCAATGTTTACAAATAATGTATTATATTGTTGGTAGAAAATCCGAGCTGTGCGGTAAGAAATAAACGAACCAAATTGTCACTGCTTCCCTTGCCGCTATACAGCTTCGCCGACACCGCTTTTGTGGTTATAGCCGAGTTAAAAACAGCGCGCCAGTCGTTTCTTCTTTTCGCTACGTAGCGCCAATTTGGATATTCCAAGCGCAGCCAGGTCCTTTTCCACCTGGTCCTTCCAACGGAGTGGAGGTATTCATCTTCCTCTGCTTCCCCCTTCAGATAGATCGTCGAATACTTTCAGAGCTGGAGTGTTTTCGTCCATTCGGACAACATGACCTAGCCAACGTAGCCGCTGTCTTTTAATTCGCTGAACTATGTCAATGTCGTCATATATCTCATACAACTCATCGTTCCATCGAATACGATATTCGCCGTGGCCAACGCGCAAAGGACCATAAATCTTTCGCAGAACTTTTCTCTCGAAAACTCGTAACGTCGACTCATCAGTTGTTGTCATCGTCCAAGCCTCTGCACTCTTTAGCAGGACGGGAATTATGAGTGACTTATACGAGTCTGGTTTTTGTTCGTCGAGAGAGGACTTTGCTTTTCAATTGCGTACGTTGTATGTTGCGTTGGATTTCACAGGTAGTTGTTTACGCTGGTTCCAAGATAGACGAAATTATCTACGACTTCAAAATTATGACTGTCAACATTGACATGAGAGCCAAGTCGCGAGTGCGACGACTGTTTGTTTGATGACAGGAGATATTTCGTCTTGCCATCGTTCACTGCCAGATCCATCTGCTTTGCTTCCTTGTCCAGTCTGGAGAAAGCAGAACTGACGACAATATCAATATGATATCAATATCATCGGCATACGCTAGCAGCTGTACACTCTTGTAGAAGATGGTACCTTCTCTATTAAGTTCTGCAGCTAGAATTATTTTCTCCAGAAGCAGGTTGAAGAAGTCGAACGATAGGGAGTCGCCTTGTCTGAAACCTCTTTTGGTATCGAACGGCTCGGAGAGGTCCTACCCGACTCTGACGGAGCTTTTGGTGTTGCTCAACGTCAACTTACACAGCCGTATTAGTTTTACGGGGATAGGCAGCTCCTTTTTGTGCTGTCGAAAGAAGCTTTGAAATCGACCAAAAGGTGGTGTGTGTCGATTCTCCTTTCACTGGTCTTTCCAAGATTTGGCGCATGGTGAATATCTGGTCGATTGTTGATTTGCCAGGTCTAAGGCCACACTGATAAGGTCCAATCAGTTTGTTGATGGTGGGCTTCATCCTTCACACAATACGCTCAATAGAACCTTATATGCGATGTTGAGGAGGCTAATCCTACGGTAGTTGGCGCAGATTGTAGGGTCTCCTTTTTTGTGGATTGGGCATAGCACACTTAAATTCCAATCGTTGGGCATGCTATCGTCCGACCATATTTTACAAAGACGCTGATGCATGCTCCTTATAAGTTCTTCGCCGCCGTGTTTGAATAGCTCGGCCGGCAACCCATCGGCCCCGCCGCTTTGTTGTTCGTCAGGCGGGTAATTGCTATTCGAACTTCTTCATGGTCGGGCAATGGAACTTCTGCTCCATCGTCATCGATTGGGGAATCGGATTCGCCTTCTCCTGGCGTTGTGCAATATTTTGCTCAACCCGTTAGATACATTAAATTGTACACTCGAGATGGGCAGAGAGGCTTTAATGAGAACCGATGTCAAACTTGGAAAATGTGAATGGTCTTTGGGTCAAATAACATAATAACTCGTCCTACTTCCAATGTAACACAACTTTAAATTGTATCTCATTTTTTTACTTTCCAGTATACAAATCAACCATTGAATATATAAGGATAAAACTTTGCACAAATAGTGCTTTAAGGTGTGTCATTTCGAGTTTATAAATTTTCAAAATCCGACAAAAATTGTTTAGGTTTGTTTATTCCGAATATAGGGACTCCAGTGTCTTTTTACCAAAAATAGCGGTTAACCTTTGACAGTTATTATTGAAACGAGGAACAAATTCTTTTCTGAAAATAGTATGTCCGTCTGTTAAAAATGGACACCCGGCAAGACGGGTAGCTGTTAGCAAACGTGTAAGCGACTTGTTATTGGGAGTGGGAAAAAAGTAACACATAGCTATTTGATGTTATCTCGCTCTAACCAGAGGCAAATATCGCATGCTGAATTGTTCTAACAGAATACATACATTTGTTAGCAAATCTCTTTACAGTCTGTTACGGGTAACAAATTCGTTTGTTAGCGCATAGCTTACCTATGTTTTATGCATAAAAAAAAGTGTTTGTTACCTAAATATATGTTAGTGTTATTATCTAAGATTAAGTTTATTTCAGTACAAAAATTTTAACTCTAAGAATTCATATTTTTAAAAGTAAAACCAGAGACTTCAATTTAAAACTAATATATACAACTTAAAACTAATATTTAAAACTTAGAACTAATATGTACAACTTACAACTAATATACATAAGTAACAATAAGAAAATGTATATTAATTTAGCCTTAAGTTGTGTTTTTTGTTTAAAACGTCTGGAAAATCTCTGGAACTCCCCACAGATTGTTCTTGTCAGGAAATGTATCTAAAATGAAACTTTATAAACTAATGCATTCAAATACACACAATGTACAACTATTTGAATTAAATATATACTTTTTAACTTTAATAATTTAAAACTTACTCACCTTAATTTTTTGTAAATCGTAATATTATATATTTGAATTGTCCCAATGCTCTAAATGCTCCAAATGATTCTCTGTAATATTAAAAGTTTTAATATACATACAACATAAAAATCACAATGCTTACCTATTTCTCCTTCTTCAGCTTTTTCGCTTTCTATATATAAAAGAAATTAATTATAAAATATGAAATTATCAAGTAACGAACTTACCTCTTTAAAATTTAAAGTAAACTGCACTTTTCGTTTTCTCCTTCTTGAAAAATTGGGTATTCGTCTTTCCTATTCCAGCAAGTTAATATTACCAAATGTTTCAAATGTCGAAAGTTTTTCTCTATCTTACTTATGTATTCTCCCATTGCCCAAGTTAACAGTGTCAGTGAACAGCTGAAAATGTTTCAATGTGTTTGTGCAATCTGTTACCCCATATGTATGTATGTATGTTCATAATATAAAGATTTTGCAACTTTCGGTTGACTTTATTCCACATATATCGGGAATTATCTTAATGATTATAAGATATATATATTATATTTGTGCGTCAAATAGATAAAATCGGGTGACAACTTGCCTTAACATGTGGCGGAGGAAATGTCGCAATATCCATTTCTCTCTTTCCTATCAAAGGTGTTTAATATTCCCTATATTTTGGAGCTAAGTATGTACATCAAAGATTGTACCGATATTAGTTATTCCCACAAAATATAAATTTTTCAGGCAAATTCTTCTTTATACTATGTTCGGACCGACAATGAAAACATGTTTTCGTGGGAAAACTGGTTTCCACCCTAAAACTTGTGTTTTCATCCATGTAAATTCTGTCAAACGAAAATACATTGAAAACTACTTAAAAACTTACATTCCACTCATTATAATCCGTGCCTGCTCTTGTTTAATCGATTTTTTTGGAACACATATTTTGCCGGGCCTAAATTGTCACTTGATATTTGTTTACATTCAGCTGTCTTTTCATATTTCCATATTAGGAGGATTCCCTTGCTCTTGTAAAACCCTTGCACGGTGCGCGAATTGCAGAATTTTCCTCTTGGTGCAACGATACAACAAGAAACACACGCAGAAAGTTATTTGCAATGGCTGTAAAATATGTCAGACCAAACCCCATGTTTTGTCGTGCCGTCATATATCACTAGATTCTTCAATGGGTGCTCTCTTGGCCTTGCATGTTTCGGTATATAATTTTTCATTTGTAGTCATCGTGCAATCTTGCAAGAGCTAGAGAAATCTGTGTGATAGGGGAGAAGAATTGTGGCAAAACAAAATTAGTGCTCTTCGCGGGCCAATATTGAGGCATGCAAAACTTACCATTCTCATTGCTCAAAATGTAAACAAACAAATAAATTTGTGAGTTGTCAGTGATAACTCATCGAAAGCACACATTGTCGGTTAATTTTTGGGTTGTGGAATCATTTCAGAAAAACATTTATTATTACCTTTTAATTTTTTTTCTGGCAACACTGTATGGAAATAGGCAAATCTGACAAAACGATTACAGGTGATGTGGCGAAGAACGACTGAAGCAAATTTTCATATATTTTCCCTACAAATTAAGCTGATTTTTTAGAAGAAAGTTAAAGAGAAAATTTGCTTAGAAGAATAAACAATTGCGTTAAAGTAATAAGTTAGTTAATAGAAGTAATAAATATTTTCAGTAATACATAAAAAGTGCGGTATTCGATAAAAACAATGCAAAATGTTTGGCAGACGAAAATGCTCGGCAATGAACTCTGCACTAATTTTTCTGGGCGTTTGCAGCATTTTTTTGCCGACAAACTGGGTAGTAGAGGGTCTTTCTGACTTACGGCTTTGTGCGGATCCACAATGTCAAAGTAAGACTAGTTTACTTTGTTCTAGTACACAAATATATAGTAATTACAAATTTCTTTAAGGCATTATTTCTCTGGGAACTGGTAAGATCTCCTATCGAGCAGGGAAAGAGGGTATGGTGTCTTTTAAAATTAACTCTAAAATCCGAATTAAATCGAAAAGCGCTGGTAAAGATCCCACGCTTTGGGGTATCGAAGTTAATGGACGAGAAGGTTACGCACCCAAGGAGTATATCTTGGAAGAAAAAGTATTAGTGAAAGATAAGGAGTTATTGTATACTGTACCTGTCACTGGTTCACAAACAATATCTTCAACTGCAACACCAATACCAGTTGCAACGCTAAAACCTTCAGAAAGTATTCCAATAAAAAAAGAAGACGTGGAGATAACCCCCACAGCACCATTGTCGCCACAATTGGAAACTGAAAAATCAATTCCTCTAACAAGTCGGGAGAGGGAACCTACTAAGGAAGATATAAGTCAAGCGACACCTGTGCAATCTAATATTGAAATTATTGATGGTACAGAAATACTGGTTTTAGAAAAAGTGGAGGAAAGACAAAATAACTTCTTGGAAAATAGTCCTGATAATACTGAGATACCAGAAAAACAACCATTTGGAAACAGTATCGAAACCTCAGATGTTAAAAAGCAAGTATCTAAACCTGAACAAATTGTTAATAATGCTGATCAACAACAGAATACTTCAATAACTGAGGTATCAAAAGAAATAGGAAACGAGTTACCTAAATTAGGTTCCGCTGATGATGACGGTAATATTGAAGGTGATGAGGATGATTATGCCAAAGAGGAAGACTATAGCGGAGAAAATGAAGATAAACCCATAACGGGTGAAAATGGTGAAGAAATTACTAAAAAAGAAAGCAACGATTCAAATTCGCTGACCGAACAAATGGATCTTTTGAATACCCAAAGTTTTAATAAAACCGATGAAGATAAAGCAGAGGATTCCTCCGAAACTGAGAAATCAAATGTAAATATAATTGATGGCACAGAATCTCATACAATGGAGGAAAAGCCTCCGTTCGTATCATTGGGCGACAATATAACAGTTATTAATGAGACTATCGGCACCGAAACGACAACGGAGAAGTCAGTTACCGAATCGGTTACTTTGCCACAAGAACAGTTATCCGTACCACAAGAAGTAGCTTCCGTTGAAAAGTCGTCGGCAAGTACTCTTGCGAATGAAACCGGCAAAGAAGTTCCTAGCGTAATAAGTGAAAGACTGCCAGTTCCTAATACATTGACAGATACTACAGCTCTCGAAGCCGAGTTACAATCTAACGTTTCTATAGAAACTACAATCCAATCAACGTCTGCAACTACCAGCGAGTTAAAAGTCGATGAGAATGATTCAAGTGCTGATCATGGTGTGCCTATTTTGAAAATGTTTGAAACACCAAACTATCGACCTCAGGATAAGTACAAACAAGAGCAACAACATACACATCTTCATACGCACTCACAAGAACAACAGCAGATATATCAGTTTCATCCACAAGATCAAAACCAACATCTAGATCCGAGTACACAGCAAAATAATCCACAAGATCAACACCAACATCTAGATCCGAGTACGCTACAAAATAATATTCCTCAAGTGTCGGAAGAAACTACAACAAAGGCAGCGGATATAGCAGCAAGTCAACGGTCTGAGCACGAGGAACTGCATACACCCTATTATCCCAAAGCGATCGATGAGCAAACGTTAAACCAGCCGCCATCACACGGTGTATATTCCTACGAAGCGGTTACAGAATCATCGACAAGTAAAGTGAAATCCGAACAATTAGATACGGTTAGTACGGTTTCATCAAGTGATGTTCAGCAAAGCAACGAAGTCAAGGATGCATCTGATAAATACGTCGAGTCAATGAAAACAGATGAGGAAAGTCGGCACAAAAGCCACTTATATGCAAGTTCCGAAGAGGAAACCATAGCCACACCAGCTGAGGAAAGTAATCGAAGCAGTGTTATAGATGTCGTCGCGGTAGAGGAAAATTTGACCCACACAACACCAATTTCACCAGTTGTTGATGAGATAGAAAAACCAGTACTGCATTCAACACCAATACCGCCTATAGAGGAATACGAGACGACAACAACTGCGGCAGCTCCATCGATAGAAGAATATGAAACTACAACACCTGCGCCACTTCCATCAATAGAAGAATTTGAAACAACAACAGCTGTGCCAAGTCCATCAATAGAAGAATATGAAACAACAACCAAAACGTCTGAGCCAGTTGAAGAAAATGAAAGAACAAGAACAAACGCCGTGCCAAATAATAAGCCAGAGCAAGAAACTAAGGAGCAGGAGCAGGGCCTATTTGCTACAATACTAGGTACTGTCAATAATTTCTTGTCGCATGGCAAAAAAGAAGATGCTAATGTAGAGGATGAAGAACTGCAACGCATACTCTATCCTGATCGAGCCAAACCAAATAAAATGTCAAAGGAGGCCGGTAAGTTCTGTGTTAATGTGTTTGCGTGCTTTGATAAATTATATTCACTGTAAAAATGGTATTTACTACAGATGCTGACTATTGTGAGAAGCTTTCACCAAACGATTGTCCATCACAAGTGTTGCGTGAATTAAATAATGCGGCGGCAACGTCTTCTTCAATAGCTGGGTGCCAGTTGGATCTAACTAACATGTCCATGGATATGTTGTTGACCGTGGCTGGTAATAAAATGTTTGAAATGAGTGAATTATTGGCCTGCCTGGCGACAGTGGCGGTCACGTGCCTTTTCTTTTTGTTCGTTTATTATTGTTTCTGCAACAGCAGTCGCGAAGGCGAGCTCTTGGGCAGGTTGAATGCGTTGGAGCGCAGCTTGCTGGCGACACACAAGGAAAATGCTATACTCAAAGAAGATTTGATGGGTACGCGTAACAAATTGTCGAGCATTGAAGATAATTCCTTCGGTTCGAACGATATGGTTATAGCGTTGAAGCAGGAATTGGAGGAGGAACTGCTGGAAAAACGTCAGTTGCAAGATCAAGTTGGAAGTTTAGAAAAGGTAAGAAGCACACCTTAGGTCTTTATTCCTTCAATGTCTTCATATATTGAAATTGATTGTTCACTTAGGAACTAGAAAATGCAGCCGAAGCCGGACTGGAGTTAAATAAAATCGTTTCAGAGCTATTGAACAATCAGACCGGTGACGAATCTATAATAAGCAGCGTTGAGGAATTGCAAAAGCAGTTGAATGAACAACAAAGTACAGTTATTTGTATTTTACTCCGGTGCATCTTTGATTAATTTTCAATTTTATCTGGTACATTTAGAAACTATACTCGATATAAACGCTAATTTGGCCGAGAAAAGTCGGGAAAATAGCGAACTGCAGCTTATGATTGCGGAGCAGAATGCGCGTCTTAGCGGTGAAATTGCATCGCTGCAGCAAGATAACGACGAGCTCGAAGTGGAAAAGAGTAATTTACAAACACGTTTGGAGGAAGTGAAGCGCGAGTTCGAAGAAGACATTACCAAGGCGCTGGAAGGCAAGAACTTTGAGATAAAACGCCTTCAAAGTGAATTAGTTGAGCTCAGTACAAAGCTCGAGGCGGAACACACGAAGTATCAGACCAGTTTGGCGAAAGTAGAGGTAAGATATCTTTAAAATTATTCTTTGAATCATTTCTTTTCCTTTTAGAAAAATATTGAATATAATGTGTTCC